TCACCTGTGTATCTCACTTTAAACACAATTAGTCCACCTAGGTTGTCACTCAATTATCAAAACCAAATAAGGATCTTTCAATCTCCCCCTTTTTGGTAATTGATGACAACTCTACAAAGATATAGAAATTAAGCACTTTTGGATTCTTGTTGCTTGCCCAAGCAATTTTACCATGTGTAAATGATTTTGGACAAGTACCATAAACCTGAATTGGTAGTATTAGCTCCTCCTACATATGTGCTAGAGTGTTTGGTTTGCTCTCGCACATATGCATAGATTGGAAGTGTGAGAGAGTAATTACTATCAATGATGCTAAGGTGTAAAAGAATTAACCTTTGATATGTGATACCAATTGGAGTTGCACTTTTAACACCATCCTTAGCACCATGAGTAGCTAGACAACAAAAATACAAGAAACCCCGTGAGATCAACATTATAAGCAAGGTTCTAGTACCACGTGTAGAAATACAAGTCTAGCTACCAACCTATGCATGCCAGTTATCATATCATCAATCAAATTCTACAACTAGCATACACCATACAAGCATGCATATCAAATTTGAAACTTATGCAATGCAAGGTTGGACATGAATATGCACATATCAAATGCAAAAAAACACAAGTTCATGAGCTTACTCCCCCTACTTGTATGCTTCTCTTGTCCAAGAATTTTGATCCTTCTCAATTCCTCAATGTTGCTTCCTCTTTACCATGTCCATGTCCAACCTCTACTTCTTTGTCTCATACTCTTCCAAAGCTTTCATATCTTTGTACAATCTCTCCTCCTTTGTCATCAATTTCCATAAAAGGTATGCTTCTCATTGATGCAAAGGCTTGCATTAGGGTAGATGGTTGAGGCTTGAATCTTGCATTTTTTATGTACATCACTACATGTGTTGGAATGACACCACTTGTATAGCTCTTGAGATACCACACATAGGATCTTTGACCTTGACACCAATCGGTGGGACATCTCCCCCTAAGTCATTGCATGGGTCATCCATTTGCTAAACTTGAGCTCTTGTATGTGAGGGATGCATTTTTCATTTGATGATCACTTAAAGTTGAGGATCTCTTGTAGAACCACCATCTTGTATGATTAATATCACATGTAGAAATGTGATACCACATGAAAGAATTTACTAGCATGGAACCACTTGATGGATTTGTCAATAAAAACTATTTCTTGAATATTTTCTATCTTCATGAGTACCACTTGTAGGATATCACTTGTTTGTTGATCTAGACACCACTTGTGAATACCGCTTGATAAATCAATTGAGTCTAGATACCACTTGAAGTAACCAAACTAGATGTCCATTTGCATTGTTGTCTTGTGCTTGTACTCTTGTTGCTATCATGAGCTTCTAAGTTGATTTGAACTAAATTGATTTGCCTAAGCTTTCAAGTCTGGTTTGAACCAATGACAAGCTTCTTCACACCTCTTATAAGGGTTATCTTGTCAATGTTGTACTTGTCACTTGTTGGCAATCTTAATTAAATCAAGTACTTGGGTTTGCTAGCTCATGAACAAACTCATACACTATCACTAGATTCAACTAATCATTCAAACAATAGTCATAGGCTATGAATTTTAAAATTTTATTTGTCATGCATGATCCTATAAAGCATGTACTATATGCACTAACCGCATACTAGTAAGGGATGAAAATGATCATGCACAATACAATGATACCTTTGCTATGTTGGAGTAGAGGATAGTCATTAGTTTCCAATTAAGCTCCGCAATAGCAATGTGAAGTCTAATTATAAGCTTGGTGAAGACCAATCATCATAGATATAGTCCATTCTTCACCCATATTGTTATTAGAACTTAAACTTCATCTTTATCTTTATCTTGGTCTTGATCTTCCATTTGAGTACTAAATAATTTCCAATTGTTATTAGAACTTAAACTTCATCTTTATCTTGAGCTTGGTCTTGATCTTCCATTTGAGTACTAAATATGTGCTAAGTACACTCCACAACAAAATGGCCTTATACTCTTTTCTTGTCATGCTTCTAGATGATCTCAAAACCAAACTTAGGTGCCACAATTACTTATAAACATGTTTCCAACTTGAGGACCTTTCAATCAAAGTGACTCTTGATCAATCCAATAATTATCACTTTTCTGGCAGATTCTGTACCCTTCAAAGAAAAATACATATCTACCAATATACTGACCCAAATGCAACGAAATTTGGTGGAGATGTGCTTCACTAAGTTATATAGCAGCTATAAAAAATTGGGAATCATTTGACTTCTACATTGCCACCAGATTTCAATTATTTCATCACTGCTATATGCTGAAAACTGCTGCACTATAGCTGACAAGATCTACTCCAAGACGGAAGCATCTCTCATCCAATTCTCATAAAATTTGTGTACAATCTTATAACATAAGTCTAGAGTATTTATACCAAATTTCAACCCAATACAAATAGATTTGATCACTCAAACATGATTAAGATAACAGCTCACTCAGATTTTGCAATATAGGATATATTTCAATCATTTGAGCTATACTTCATCAAATGTGAATCAAACTTGAAATTAACTTGTTTGAATACTTTCTCAAGATATATATCCATTCAATCTACTTACTAAAAATCATCTCATGAATTTATCCAACACAAATCAATCCAAACTTGGTTACTAAGTATTTATCCATTCAAACATCTTATAGCAAGCAACATTGCATATTTATCCAATTCAATCAACTCATATGCACCCAAACGGAATGATCAACAAGAGATATACCTTGTTTAGCTCATGATCATCCAATTAGCAAGTTTCAATTCACATGTTTGCAAGCCATCAAATAATCTAATAAATCATCCACAACTATAAAAATAAAACAATGCCTCATTTCTAACAATGGCAAAAACATGCACAATTCAATACAATTCAGAATGAATTACTCACATAAATGATGCCTCAAAGACCCTTTGGCAAGTTTTTTAGCCCACTCCTCTTGCCTCTTCTTGAAAAAGGCCTCCTCCCTCACATTCTTGGCCTCCTTAAAGTTGTACGTCTCCTTTTGTTGTCGCTAGAAGGTTATCAACTCCAATTCCTCAAAGTACCATGAAAGATGTCGACCGGTCACCCTTTGAAAGTCCTCAAAAATCCTGTTATGGGTCTTCCATGATGGCCTCGGTACATTGTATTACTTCCTGATGCATTCCTGAATCTGCTGTGGGGGCCAATGCTTTGTGTCTTTTTTGAGAGGCGAACGTACCTTCAGCCTCTCTACTAAGGCTCCATGGCCGGGGAAGTCCTCCCAATTGCATGTCCTCCCCACCTAAGCAAACACAAATGATTGAAACAAAGCAAACTCATGGATGTTGTTGATTTTATAACTTCAACGGTTTAGTGAACTCACCTAGAACTCGGCCGGCCCTCCATATGCATTGCCGCAATAGTAACCGTAGCCTAGCTCAGACGGAACAACTCCTTTACGAGCCTTGATGCCACTCTTGCACTTACACTCCGGCATCTTCGAGCGTGCGGCTACGTAGTAGGTCGAAAGCTCGCTGTCCCAGCGACGCGAGCTCGATGTCAGCCAGCGCGCGCCCTCAGAGTGACCCGACAGGGACATGTTAGTCCACCAAGCGCAGCAAGGCGGCAGGCCATGCATCGTGGCCCCGGTGCATGAGCGTCTCGGCCTCCACCATGACGTGCACAACACCCTAGATGCCCGCAGGCGTGCCCGCAGCGATGAGAGGGAGGAGGCTAGCGGTGGCTACCACCCTCGTCGTGGCGGATGCTACGATAATGGCAAGGACCGAAGCCCAAGCCTTGACTTGCCGGGACCTTAGGCCTTTGACAGATACATCCTCAACGTCGTCTTTCCACCGTGGTATCGACCGCTGACCAACATGCCAAAATGGAGCGGATAGTGACAATTTTATTGGCTCCGTTCGCTGGGAGGAATTTGAAGGAATCTGTGAGAGGAAAACACTGTTCCAGATGAAAAAAAAGCGGAAAAAGCCGGGTTTAAGGGCACACGAACAGGGCCATTATCCGCAACCTTCCATTGTTTCTGGCCGATTTGGCGTGAACGTGGTTGGAACACCTCCCGCCCAACCAAATTCAAAGTTGAGTGGACCTAAAAGAGATCTTCGTGTGAAACTTCTAGGGCACATACGCACGTCCTGGGAACCCATGAGATCTCAAAAACTACCGACAAAAGTCCGGGGAAACTCTTCATGGGTACATCCGGCGCTTCTCCCGGTAGTGCAACGAGCTGCCCAACGTCGCTGACGCCGACGTCATAGGAGCTTTCCTGTCCGGGACCACATACGACTCCCTAGTTCACAAGCTGGGATGTAAGGGCCCGTGAACCACCAAGGAGCTCCTCGACATCGCCACCAGCCACGCCTCGGGCGAGGAGGCGGTCGGGGCGATTTTTGACCGCCCCAAGGGCAAGGCAAAGCGGGACCAGGATGCCGACGAAGGCGCCTCCAACCGCCCCAACAAGAAGAAGAACAAGCAGCGACGCGATGGCTCACTCGTGTCTACTGCCGACTGCAAGGGGGTCGGAAGCCCGCCGAGGGTACCCTAGACCACCTCGAAAAAGGCAAAAACCTATTCATACTTTAGGAATATTCTAAAGTTTGGGTGAAAAGTAATTTCTTCCAAACTTCCACCTAAAGGAGATAAAAAAAAGGCAATCCTCGAGTTCGAACTCATCTGCTCTCAGCCTCTCATGCGCGGGAGATCGGAGGCGCAGGTTTTCGGCGCTCCCGAAATCTGCTCGTATCTGATTGGCGGAGCGACCCCTCCCACGGATCGTGCCCGACGAGTCCATCGCAGCCGTCCGCGCTCCTTCAGATCCGACCGCCCGTTCCCTCGCACGCGGATCGACGGGCCCACTAGCCTCCGCGTTTAACTACCCGGCACCGCCTGCCATCGCTGATCATCTCACACTCTCGCATTCCTCCGATCTCCCAAGACCTCCTCTGACCCGAGAAGCTACTCGCCGCGCAGCCGCGCCCATGGATTCCACCGGCGCTGGAGCGGGAGGGAAGGCGAAGAAGGGAGCGGGCGGGCGCAAGGCCGGCGGGCCGAGGAAGAAGTCGGTGTCGAGGTCCGTGAAGGCCGGCCTCCAGTTCCCCGTCGGCCGCATCGGGCGCTACCTGAAGAAGGGCCGCTACGCGCAGCGCGTCGGCACCGGCGCCCCCGTCTACCTCGCCGCCGTCCTCGAGTACCTCGCCGCTGAGGTAAACGACAACGATCTGCGCCTGCAATTAGACCATTGTACTGAATCTAATATTGCAACGGCGTAGTAATTCTGAGGTGCTGATTCGCTTTGTTTTCTTTTTGTGGTCAGGTTCTGGAGCTCGCCGGGAATGCTGCCAGGGACAACAAGAAAACGCGCATCATCCCCCGCCACGTGCTGCTTGCGATCCGCAACGACGAGGAGCTCGGGAAGCTGCTGGCCGGCGTGACCATCGCGCACGGCGGCGTGCTGCCCAACATCAACCCGGTTCTGCTGCCTAAGAAGACGGCAGAGAAGGCGTCCAGCGGCGGGAGCAAGGAGCCCAAGTCGCCGAAGAAGGCCGCCAAGTCCCCCAAGAAGGCATAGACTGTCCAGCCAGATCCGATGTTTAGCACTACCTTGTTACCAGTGATGCGTGGGTTGTAGATGGGATGAATGTGCTTGGATGTGTGCCTGTCATGCTGCAAGTTGTTCTCTGTGATTTATAATGGAAGAAGAAATGCCTTGTTTCTTAGAAGTTGCAATGTCTTATGCCTGATTTCATATCTGCATTGTTGTGATTTATGATTTTCAACCTGGTCGGCATGGTTTTTTTGAGATCCTCTTTGATTAGAATTTGCTGTGGAAGAATGGTGGATTGTTCTTTACTTTAATATTGGATTATATTTTTCTCTCGATGTTCTGATATTCATTGAGTTTGGGGTCGTTGGGACATTGTGTAATTGATCTTTATGGTTTGGAAGTTCCGATAATCTGTTCGCCGTTGCTTCCTTTGGATGCGACTTTTGGAGCTCGTGGTACTTGCCTTTCACCATTATGTATGGCAAATATTATGTAGTATTTACTGAGCATGGTTGATTGCAGATCACAGAAAGTAGGCTTGCCAAACTCGCTCGGGGACGGAGGGATTAAAAAATAGTGATGAGAGGTAGTCATGTTGCACCTTGCTGTTCAATTTTTCGAAGGTGCTTCTGGCTGCCAATTCCATTGTCAGAAAGTCCGCACATCTGGTTTCTCTGAGCTTATCGCGGCACAAATTTTCGTTGAGGTATACATATTCTCGCACAAGTCTGAGGGAGTATAATCCTTAGAATATCTTTCCCAATCATGTTACTATATGCGGTCTATTCGCTGGTTAGTTTCTAGGCTGATAAACCCGACTGGTGCTGGTTTGTTGTGAGAGAAACATAGTTAGCTGACTAATAAGTCCTGACTGAAACCAATAAACGAACATGCTGATGATCTCTAGAATTATGCTTAACAGTCATCTTACTATATTATCTGTAGAATACCTTTACCAATCTTCTCAGCCATTAACTATTTCTTCCATTCCAAATTATAAAATGTTTTAGCTTTTCTAGATACTTTGATTTTATTATGTACTTAGATATAAACAATGTCTAGATATATAGTAAAACTAATATATTTAGAAAAGTTAAAACGTCTAATTTGGAACAGAGAGAGTATTAAAATCTTACCAAAAAAAGTTTTGAATATCGATTTTATTATTTTTTGCAGACTTTAGTTTTGAATACTCTGTTAAGTGTTAACCAACCAGACTGGGGACAGGTCAACATAAACAAATACAGAGCAACTGTTTAAGGTAGTGGTGGCATTAAAAATACCTAAAGTTAACTTCTGCATACACATGTATATAGAAGACGACGGCAATTGGGAATTCAGGAGATTTGGCATCAGACATAACCTCATGGCATTCTCATTTTCAGGTACAGAAACGAACATACAAGCTGAAGCGTGCTAGCTTCTGTAACAAATATACTTGCTAATGAACCAAAACAGGCTCCAACGAAGAAGAAAAAACAAAATAATGCAATGACTTGGCAAGATAAGCTTGTGGATCAATCTTGTCGGTGAAAGCCAAAAGACTAGACATATGAAAGCAAATGGTGAATCTTCTGCAATGAAGGGTGTCCAGCTTGCTTTTGTGTTCTTTTACCATCTACACAGAAATCAATCTTCCAGGTACAATTTGTTAAGATACAGTTCATTAGAGAAAGTTAAGTAAAAAGAATATAACGTAAAAATGATAAGCTGATACCAGATCACAACTTGCTCAGGGAATGAAGTATTCAAATGCTTTTCATTTTAATTTAATTCAATAAATGAAACCAGAGAACAACTGGATTCAGAAGAGAGTATTGCTGATGGCAGTGGAATTCCAGGCTTAAACACCCTCACAAGTTGAAAGTATATCGGAATGTAGGTACGAAAACAGGTGGAAATAATCAGAAAAAATATATTTAGGACTCCTTGGAAGGTAGGAATCGTACATGAATTTCACTAGAATCAGCTCATTTTCACATGAAAACTGCAAAAAACAAGAAAAATCCTCGCATTTCACAGGTGTCCTTAAATGAAAAGAATCTTGGTGGGTCAGAAATTTTCCATGTGTCATTTCAACTACTTATTAGCGGTGGCTGCAGTATGTGACTACAACAGAATAGAAAAAACAAATTTTATATACAGTAAATATAAAAAACGGTCATAAACAATCACTTTAACAAAAAAAAATCCCTATCGATATTTACACACCAGCAGAAGCTTTCTGTGTAGAACATATGCCAAAATACAATTTCATTAAATAAGAAACAATAAAGCTACAAATCAACATAAAACTACGTTAAGCTTGCTGGAAACATGTGTTGCCTACTTGCCTTGATGGAAACTAGTTAATTTCCAGCTTGTGTGCGTTCCAAAAAAGAAAATCCAGCTTGTGCTGAATTGTGATTTTACGAAAAGTTAGAAACTCCTAATATAATGCTGCTGAAAGGAAAGTGCAATGGAAAAAATCATGACCATTGTTTTTTTTTGTTTTTGTTTTTGGGGGGGGGGGCATTGATTTAGTGGTTACTATAGTCCACTACTCCGCATCCAAACTAAGTTAACTTGTAGTCTGCTTGCACAGATAATGTATTAGGATTTAGGATATTAGGTGCAAGTTTCATACTGGACCATATTACCATGAGTAGTATAGTTCTGCCTTGAAGGGGGGCAAATTTTCTGAATGAAAGACATCTTGGTCAGTGTTCAACATGTAAATAAGAATAGTGCTGCTAAAGCATTATTGTTACCTAAATTATACAGCCAAATTATCTCTCCCTTGCAGTCATCCAGGTGTGGAGATACCTCGGGGACATAGCTATAGTATGGCTAACCAAGTTGTTCAGCCATATTTTTCGATCGAACAAGATGTCTGACGAGTGGAAGAGAAGTATATTGATACCGATCTACAAGAATAAAGGGGATATTCAAAGTTATACTAATTACCGAGAAATTAAGTTGATGAGCCATACTATGAAGCTATGGGAGAGAGTTATCGAACATCGCTTGAGAGCAATAACGCGGGTCTCTATGAACCAATTTGATTTTATGCCCGGAAGGTCAACCATGGAAGCCATTTTCTTAATAAGACAAGTTATGGAGCGGTATAGGGAAAAGAAGGACCTACAAATGGTTTTTATTGACTTGGAGAAGACTTATGATAAAATATCAAAGAATGTTATTTAGTGAGCTTTGGACAAACATAAAGTCCCAACGAAGTACGTCGAGCTCATTAAGTACATGTACAACAATGTTGTGACTAGTGTTCGAACAAGTGACGAAGACACGGATGACTTTCCGATTAGGATATGACTACATCAAGGGTCAGCTTTGAGCCCTTATCTGTTTGGCTTAGTGATGGATGAGGTCACAAGGGACATACAAGGGAACATCCCTTGGTGTATGTTTTTCGCGAACGATGTAGTGCTAGTTGATGAAAGCCAGACAGAAGTGAATCAGAAACTGGAGTTATGGCGGGAGACTTTGGAGTCCAAAGGTTTTAGACTCAGTAGAACTAAAACTGAGCATATGAGATGGGACTTCGGCACTACTACTCGGGAGGAGAAAGATATTAGTTTGGAAGGTCAAGTAGTATCTAGGAAGGATGCCTTTCGATATTTAGGATCAATGCTACAGAGAGCCGGGGATATTGACAAGGATGTTAGCCATAGAATCAAAGCAGGGTGGATGAAGTGGTGCCATATATCTGATGTCCTATGTGACAAAAGGGTACCATAGAAGTTAAAAGACAAGTTTTATAGGACGACGATTAGACCTGCTATGTTGTATGGCGCAGAATGTTGACCTACGAAAAGACGACATGTTCAACAGATAAGTGTCGCGGAAATGCGTATGTTGCGTTGAATTTGCGGTCATACAAGGGATCGAGTTCGGAACGATGATATACGTGATAGATTAGGGGTAGCACCAATTGAAGAAAAGTTTGTCCAACACCAGTTGAGATAGTTTGAACATGTCCAACGGAGACATTCAAAGGCACCGGTGCGTAGTGGAATCCTAAGCCAGGATAGTAACGTGAAGAGAGGCAGAGGAAGACCGAAGTTAACTTGGGTAGAGGCAATAAAAGGAGACTTGAAATGATGGAATATAACCAAAACTTAGCCTTAGATAGGAGTGCTTGGAAAACAACTATTCACATGCATGAACCTTGATGGCTTCTGCTGGGTTTCAACTCTAGCCTACCAAACTTGTTTGGGACTTAAATGTTTCGTTGTTGTTGCTGCTGCAGTCATCCAGGTTGCTCCATCAATCCAATCACATAAAATGCCTTAGTAACTACTAAGCGGACCACATAAAATGCATTTAATTCAATCCAATCACACAAAACAGGTACTTTCATGATGGAATGCATCCCACAGCAGATTTTAAGACTAAGCTAGGAAACACTCTTTTACATAAAAAGCCATGTTAAATGTAATATCTGTGCATCTTCGACTCTTTGTTTTCTCAATTCTTTTGAAAATAGGCATGATAATTTTTTGATGAAATAGGCATGATAATTAATACATTCAGCTTTCAAGAATCAAGATTCAAGAGTATGATATATATTTTTGAATGGAGATTTGCAGAATGACTAGGTCAAGAAACCAACAACTTCGGAGGGGTTCAGTTGAGAAAGATGACATCAGAGCTCATTTGCACCGTCATGAATTTTCTACTGTCAGCGGAATACCACCAACGGTGGCTAGCGCCCCGCGCCCGGGTCTTCAGCATCACGACGCCAACGGCTCCAGCTTCCGTGAGCGCGCGCGCTGCCCGACGGCGCGTCCAGCTCCCGCTGCAGATATGCTAGGCAGCTCGCTCCGCTCACGCTCCCACTCGCGCTAGGCGCTTGCGTTCCGCTCGCTCTTGTGCAGACCGCTTGTACAGCCATGGCCAAAGGCCTATATATGTAAACTGTGTATAATGAATATGATCATCCAGTTGCATAATCCTATTCTACATGGTATCACCGTCCTAGGTCTTCCTCTCGCGTCCTTCGACCACATCTCCTCTTCCGCTGT